AACTCTTCTGCACCTTTGGGTATTGATGCATTCAAAGTAACAGAGAATCAAAATAATCTGTTGAAAGTATAAGAGCCATTTTGAGGACTTCTGGCCCCACAAATGCCCTGATGATGTCAGTAAAAGCAGGGGCAGTGCAAAGCTCCCTCCCTGTCCTCACTGTCACTGTGGGTCCCTCAAAGTGCTGGAGCTGCTGGAAGCAGCACAGCTGTGTCGGCCTGACACGCTCTGCTCCGCTCTGGGACTAATTAGTGCAGGCAGAGAAGCTCATCAGGATCATTTCCTGCCCCTGAGGGGCCCTGCACCTGTCCCCCCAACTCTGGAACCGAACAGGTTGGGAGCTACCCTGACTACACCCTGCACCTCTGCACCCTGAAGTGACCCCAAATCACTGTGGTGTCCAGCACAGCTCCCTGTGGTACCTGAGCAGCTGAGGGGTCAGAGGAGGAAGGTGGATTCTCATTCTTGAGAAGGATGTTGTTCAGCATCTCAAAGGCAGGTGACCAGTTTTCCCCTCCAATTACCCCTCTGGACCACACTGTGCCCCAGGGCAGGGCCTCCAAGGGTGGAGAGCAAGAGAGGCTTCAGTTCTCCTTTTGTCACAATCCTCTGGCAAAAGTGACAGCCTGGGGAAGCTGCAAAGGCTTCTGAGAAGCTTCTGTTAATTATCCTACGTGCACACTCCAGCCTTTTCTAGTGTTTGCCACTGGAGAGAAGAGCTCGTTTAGACCGGGGAGAGGGGGAGAATAAAGCCATTAAAGGAATAGCTGTAAGCCTAGAGAAGAGATAACAACTGACAGAGCAGCAGAATGCTAATGCCATGTCCTTGTCTCCTTGTGAATGGACCTGTACAGCTCATCTGAGCAGTCTTGCTCCAGTGAGCAGATCTCTCCCCAAAGGATTGTCCTCTGCAGCTATGAAAAATGTACGAGATAGAGAAGGAATTTCTAAAATCCCCTGCAAGGACTACACTTGTTCGGTCAACAGCCACGTCTGACATCCCTGTGCTTTCCCAAGGGCTGAGAGGTGCTTCTGCCTTCCAAGGGGGTGCAGAGTGAGGGTTAGTGCCAGCCCAGGGAGCTGGCCGAAGATGGGAGCTGTGAGTCAGACAAAGCAAGCTTTGTCCACTGTCACAGGAATACCTTTAAAGGGTTTCATCCGTTCATTTGTGAACCCAAAACTTCTTTGACTTTACATCTGCAATGACTTTTTCCTCTTAAAATTGATACATCTTGTTAGAAAAAGTAAGAGAGTAGACAGCCCTGCAAATATAACTGGATTTCCAGGTAACCATTAATCCAATGTTTTCTAAAGCCCATTTCTACCATTAAACAAAAAATACACATTTTGTTATGTGTGTCCATACATACATGCACATATATTGCACATTATTTTTGCTCTTCCAGTAGCTTTGATATGAACAGTAACATACCATTATCTCTCCAGTAATCTCCAGGCAGCTCCCCAAAGAGCACTGCTGAAACCTCCTGAAATGACAGCTAAAACCAGCAGTGTAGAACTACCCAGCAATGTCTTGTTCTTGCTCCCCAGCTGTAGCTGGGGGGAAAGGAGGGCAGGCAGTGTGAGCAACAGAGAGAAAAATGCTACTTTTTTGTTGTTTTTAAGTAACAGCAGCTTTATGAATACAGTTTTGCCCAAAACCGCTGAGAGAAGCACATGGCACGTTTTGCATGTTTCTGCTGCCAGATGAATTATTTGGTGATGAAGGCATCTACAGCAGAGTTCTTGCATGGAGATACCTGGCAATAAAACCTGGGGTGAGTGTTTGAAGCCCAGCACCCCACACCATTAGTGCCCTAGAGACACTCCCAGGCACTCAGGAAGAATGGAAAAAGCTCATTAACGCCTCTGGGTTATTTTGGAATCTCCCTTTCCAGTTCAACATCCTCCTAAGTGAACCCTGCTGTCAGTGGGGTCTCTCTGGGCTCTGGGATAGAAGCACAGACTCCTCCAGCCGCTGCTGCTCAGGACTGACTCTCCAGAGCAGCACAGCTACTCCTTCACCCACAGCCCACATCACCCTCCCACTCCTCTGCCCAGTTTTTCTCTTTTCCACTGTCTCCCCAGCTAATTCCAGTCAAGAAACAGGTACAGACATTCATTTTATCTACTCCAGTAAGGCAGCTCTCTGATTCTAAAAATACTCCAGGAAATTGAATCAACATTTTGTAATTGTCTGGTAGCAGCAATTACTAATAATCAGCAGGAACATAATTTTCTTCATTTTTTACTCTTGCTGTAATGTAATCTCAATAGCAAACCTTGTTTTGCACACTAAACAAACACAATGGCCAATATGAGAAAAATGAGGAGATAAAGCAGAGTTTCAAAAAAATTAAAAATAAATAAACTTCTATCAAATAGCAAAAACTGTAATTCAAACAGCCTTTGGGAAAGATAAAATTAATATTGTTCCTACGTTCCCCTGTAAAATGGAAAAATGAAAGCTCCACGTCTCTTACTCAGTGGCAGCAGCACTCAAGATAGCAGCCCCAGTGCCTGGAGGCAGCATCCCCCTGCCCAGGCTCCCACAGAGCTCCCAATTCCCTGTGAGGGCAACAAAAGGCACAGCAAGGGGAAGAGTACACATGACTTGGACGTGAAGGACTGTACTGGACACAAGACTGCAGTCAAGCAAACTTCTCAGTTCATAGTGAAAAACACTTTTGCAGAAGGAAGCCTGGCTCAGAATAGGTTTTCTGAAGACTGAGACAGCTCTTGCAGATTAAAAACAAGGAATATTTTCCTTCCCCAACTTGATAAATTTGCTGTAGATGTCTATGCTTTCTAAATCAATAAACAAGTGCCAATTCATGCAAGGATTTAACTTGGAAGCGTGACCAGCTCGTTGCTTTTCCTTCCAGCCAAGAACAGCAGATGCTCCACTGCTCTCTGCAAGCATCAGTCCCTAACAGGTATTGATGACTGTATCAAGCCAGCTTGGCTAAAGACAAATCCTCCTGAATTGTGGGAGCTCCTGTCACGCTTGGGAGCTGCTCAGCAAGGCTCCTTGCCAGCAGCACTGTTGCATGGCATTTACAAATGGCACATTTTCTCTCTGTCCAGTTTAGAAGATGTCCCTTACTAAGGCTGGGAGCAAGCTGCAAATTCCCTACAATCCCCAAGCAAAACCAGATTGCAATCCAATTTCCCGTTTCAAGGAGACAGAAGAAACACGGCCACGCTCACCCCCACGTGCCCTGGACTGCACATGAACCATCTGCATCCTTCCAAAGGCCAGGTGGGCACTGATAAACTCAGGCAATGCCATAAATTATTTCAGAGCAGGGGCAGGTGACAACCCAGGTCCCAGAATCTGATGAGAACCCATCTGGGAGCATCACCTGGAGCTCGGTAAGTACACCCACAGAGCATGAGGCACAAATTCAGCGCCTGTGGAAGAAGAGCCTTTAGAAAGGATGGATCATTCCCAGATAGTTTTAGTAATAAGGTCACTAAACTTTCTTTGGTTCAGGGAAAGGTAAATATCAAGCTGGTCTTCAGTATTTTTGACCTTGGAATAAACTTTGGGGAGTACACACATTGGAAATACATTATTTTGAGAAACCTCTGATTAACTTTGCTCTTGGAAATTCTTCAGCAGTCCCTGTACTGTGTGGATGAGTTTTACAGCTGCTGCTTTGGTGCCAGTGCCCTCCAGCAGCACAATCACTGATTTCCAGGGGATCTTTTGGATGGGTGGTAAAAAATGCACCACTCATATGGGCAAAACTCCATCTCCCTGCTGCCAGAAGGCTTTATAATTAACCAGATTATTATTTTTAAATCTATTGCTTCAAGACTTCTCTTTTGAAATTGGATTCTCTTTTCTTCAGCTTTTTGGACAGATTTTTTCTCCCCAGAGGAATAGGAGTCACACTGGAATATGACTCAGAGCTGGTTTTCATTTGTATTTTCAAACAGACAAAACCACTCAGGCTTTTGGAGACAGATTCCTCTTGGAAAGGGAAACCCCACCAGTGGGTTGTGTCCTTTGTGCTGGTGCCCAGTGCTGCTGTTACCTGCTGGAAAACCATGGCTTTGGGCTGATCCCAAATGCTGCTGGCACCAGACACTGTCAGGGGGCTCACAAACACCTCAGACCCCACCAAAGGCAAAGGCAGGCAGAGGGAGCACCAGGGGAGAGGCAGCAAAGACAGAGGGGGGAAGGATGCATCAGCTGCTAATGAGTCTGTCAGCTTAATCTGAGAGCCTGGCACAGCCTGCAGACACTTGATGCTCAGGGAGAGCGCTCAGGTGCCGTGTTCAGCTTCAACCTCGATGTTATGCCAGACTAAAGGCACACTTAGAGCCCTCCTCTGCCATCATTTTCCCCTGCTGCTGCTGTAGCCACGATGCTGACAGTGCAGGGCTGCTCCTGGGTCCAGCCCTCGCTTCCTTGGCCAGGCTTTGTGTGGCCAGAACAGCCACCATGGACCAGAGCAGAGGCAAGGCATCCACAAGAGGGGCTACAGGCCTTGGGAAGAGCATCACCTTGAGGATAAAGCGGCTCGTTTCTGTAAGTGCTAGAACAGTCACCGCTTTCCAGGGGATTTTTTGGATTGGAAGTGGAGGAGGCATGGTCCAGGTGTGGGGGAAGCAGAGACATCACAAAGAGACAGGATAGGTCTTACCTTAGAGAGATTCACTCTGCTGCCTTTTATAGCACAGCAAAGCTTTTAGATAAAGTGAAAAGTTAAAGAGGTATTTAAATGCCCACATTAAACTAAGCACTGCTTCAGATGCTGTAAAGGCCAGGTTGCACTACTGGAAATGGCCTGAAAAAAACACCAGGACAGAAGAAGTCATAATGGCTGTCAGGATGAGACACAAACCAAGCAGAAATGGAGATTTTGCTAAGTTTTGCAAAGCGAGTTGCACTCCTGCAGCCTGTGCAGAGGTGAAGCACTGCTGCTGCACACCCCTGCCACGATCCAAATGCCCTGTGAGATGGAAGGGGGTCAGCACATGGAACTTACTTGGTGTTGTCTGAGTCAATGGTATGAAAGAGCTTCTCAAGTTCTTCTTCATTGAGTGTCCCATCAGAAAAGAAGGCCTGGAACTCCTCCAGGGACAGCTTCCCATCATCTGCAAACAGCAACACAGCTGCCATTAGGGAACAGCAAAGTGAGGGGGCAAGGCTGAAAATCAAGAGTTATTTACAAATTTAAAGATCCCTACCAAAATTAGCTCCAACTGTTTCTGCAAAACTGGCCCTCAGCCACTGCAGAGCTCACAGGCCTCAGGGTGGGACCCTGCAGCTCTGGCTGAGGAAGATGCTCCTGGGTATGGATGCACTGGCCATTGGCAACAAATCGGGCTGTAAACCCAAAGCATGGCTCAAACCCAGAGGAGAAACTGGTGAGCCTCATCCTAAAACTGAATTACACTGAGGAAATTATGGAGTGTTTTGTCTACCCTATGTTCAAATGATGCAGGACACTCATTAAGGGACATTTACTAGATAGGAAAAGACCCTGGGCTGGAATTATAACAGACCCAGCAGTATCTTTTGACATCTCCACCCAGCTGCATCCTCTCCACCACAGTTCAACTCCCTGCTCTGGACAGAAATGTTACATGGAAGCTATTTCACTGATGTGGAAATCTGGCCATAGACTTTCTATGTTATTTCATATACTGGTCCCAGTGTTAATTTAATACTGGGGCTACTACAGACTCTTTAAATGACCAGGAAGAAAAATAAATTATCAAATTCATATACAAGGGGCTAAAAGAAGCACCCTCACAAGTTTGACTGATTAGGTGACAGAGGCTTACATTTAACTGATAAATCTGGAGCCTTGCTCTGTGCTCTGTGGACAGGAACAGAGCTGGCTGTGAGAAATCTCCTGTGAAGTTCAGCAATAAAGCAACAGGAGAGAAACAAAATAAACTCTAAAGAAACTTTAATTTACCATTTCTTGTCCAAGATGCTGACACCACACTCTGGTGTGCAGCAGTGCTTGAGGGGAAAACTTCCCCAGGTCACATACTACTTAAAATATTTCCACTCATATCTACAGAAGAATCACAGACTGGAAATGCTACCTAGTTTGTGGTAAGAAAATGTATCATTTATTATTTAACCAAATCAATAATAAACCCCGTTGTTTCTTTCTCAGGAAATGATGCTAGAGGACAAAATTAGCCAGCTCTCCACACACCCGTCAATATTTCTTCCCCAAAGTAAGCCTGCTGCTCCTAAAACGTACCTGCATTGCCAAATGCTAACCCAGTTTCCCTTGCCTGGCATAGACAAATTTAGAACAGTGATAAACTGAGTCTAAGATTCCCATTTAATTGGCAATTATGAAAGGAGCACAGCAGTCTACAGCAACACTGGGTGAAGAGGGCACCATTTCCAGAGCACCACAATGGCTCATTGAGGACAGAGAGGGTCCAGCTGCCTTTATTGTTTTCCTGCATTCCTTCCCCAAAACGTGCCCTTTTTGCAGGAGGCAGGGTGCAGAACACCAATGCACAGCTCAGGGGATGGGTCCCAAATCTGCTATTTCTGATTACAGACCACTGAAGCAGCTGTACTTCAGCAAGAACCTATTGCTTGAAGCACCTCAGCAGTGTCACCTGAAGGTTCAGCCAGTGGTGACATCCTGTCACTGAAGGAGTTAAAAAGGCTGTCCAGAGCAGGAGCCCCATCCATCTCCACCTCTCCATATTGCACAACTGGATAAGAAGCTTTTCCCCCTCTGCTCCTGTTTATGCAGTATCCTAGCCAAGATCAAGGTTTGGTTTCCTCTGATCCTGACTGGCAATGAATGCACATCTTCAAGCACCGAGATCAAAAGGATGACAGCATTTCAATCCCACAAGGGCTAAACAATTCTTTATATATGGAACACTTTACCTGCAAACCATAAATCAGTGCTTGTTCACCTTCAAACTGTCCTTCCACACAGAGGGCAGCAGAAATAAATTCCCAGGGAAGTCACATAAATCAACTTACTGGGAAAGAGAAACTCTAAAGTGAAGTGGATTTTTTTTTTTCAGGAGAGTACTTTGATCTGAATTTACAGTTTGCTTAACTCTGAAAAACACAAAGGTTTGAAGCAAAAAAATCCACACTCTTTATCTAGTTTACATCTTATAACTTCTTTAATTTTACTCTTCTTTGATTTGTTTTGCTCTGGGTTTTTGAGTTTTTTCTTTTTAGTAACGTGCTTCAGGATGCATTTTTGCTGCAGCCTCTGAAATATCTGTGTTTAAAATCTGTGCCAAAGCACTCCCTGATTCCTATCTCAGAGTCTCCAGAGAGAACAGGTAGACAGATACCAACTACCATGACAGGTCAGATCACTGGAAACCAATATGCACTGAATTTTTGTTGGCATTTAACAGCCTGAAGTAATGAAAAAACAGGATGATTTAAGGATCTACAGGAAGAAGGAGGTGACAGTGAATTTTATTTATTTTTTATTGTCTGGAGACACCAGAGAACAGAAAGTACTCTGACCCCACAGAATTTGAATGCAAGTTCCAATTTAATTTGCGAGCAGTGCTCAGGACTTCTGTCTCTCCCCCAGCTACCAGCACCAGTCAGCTTAAAGCTGATGGTTATTTAATATAAACTGGAATATTTGTCTGCAAACACACGAAGCAAAAGCCTTTCTGAGTAACGAGATAATCCTTGAGCTGCATATCTATAATTGTGGAACAGCCTGAGAGCCTGGGTTTCTGGAGCCCAGCAGGCAAAGATGCCTTCAGGGAACTTCAGGGTGATAAGAGGAAGCAGACTGGGCTGGGATTTGCCAATTCAAATTAAACTGTTAGAAAACCCAGGGTGGGGAGGATTGACCACAGTGGCACCGACACCAGGTCCCCAGGCTGGCAGCTGCTGTGATAAGCAAGAGCTGATGGGACACTGTGGTCCAGGAGGAGCCTTATCAGGACACTCTCAGCTTTTTCTGACAGCAGAAGTGTCTACACTCAGTAGAGAATGGAAAAGACTTCCAGAAAGCAGCTTTTTTGCAGAAAGCTGCTGGGTTCAAGAGGTACAAATTCTCCAGAGGGACAGGCAGAGCCTCAGTTGGTTCAGCCTCACACAGGCCCTGCTCTGTAGAGTTGCTCTGGGATCTTTCAGCCCTTGGGAGCTGCTTTTGACAGGAAGCATAATGGAAAAATTGAGATCCTTCATTTAATCTTACCAAACCAAATAAAGTTTCCATCATTTTTAAGATCTAGAGATCTCAAAGAAATCTAAAGATCTTAAGATCTAGAGATCTAGATGTACACAAATATTCGTGACTTTTTGTCTGGGTAACTGTACTAAAGGCAGGCAACCTATTTTCACTGACTCTCTCCCTCCCCTTTAAGCCCAGCACTTGCAGTTAACACCTAGCTGCCAGCAAGGACGTGCCACTAACTAGAAATTGCCTCCCTTGCACTGATCGGCTGAGAAAAGAGATAATCAGGCCACAGCTATCCTGCCATCATTTCTTCCTGAGAGAGCAATCTTCATTTTACCCTAGCTTTTCAAAATAATTCAATCACAGGCAAAGACCAAAGCAGATTACCAGCCCAACAGAGTTATCAAAGTTAAAACTAACTGAAGAGAGAAGGACATCAGAGAGAGCATCAGAAAGCCCCAGCTGGGATGTTATTGTATCTCCATTTGCCATCATGAAAAGGTGAGGAGTCCAGAAGTGGCTTTTATACCTTCTAACTCACAAAATCAAGCTGTTCTCACTGCTAACACAGCCCAGGGAAAAATCAAACTGAGATCATAAATTGTCCAAAGTATAGGAAATCCGACGGCCGAGTTTCTGGAAATTCACTCAGTGATACAAATGGCTTAAAGAAGCTACAAAATAAGGTCACTGTTCTGAGCCTGAGTTTGCTAAATCTGTTTCCAATCACATGAGGTTGAGACTGCTCATATATTTTCCAGATATATTATGAATATATTTCCTAGCTATTATTATTACTGTACTTCATTACTTACTTTTATTACTCTGTGAGTTCTAAAATGCTCTCAGCTCCGCTTACTTGCAAGTGCCCAACAGCTATGGGTAAGTAAATTGGATTTTATTGGGGCCTGTGAATAAAAATGATAACTCTATTTTTTTCTTCTTTCTTGGGGGTATGCATATGTGGATAAATGAGCCAGCATGAACAGGGATGGATTCCACCCTGAACCCTTCATCCAGCCCCCTCAGAAGCCAGGAGGAGCGACTTTATTCATTTGAACAAAGGGGAATATGGGCTTGAGCTTTCCATCCTGGGATGTTAGGGAAAATTACCTCCAGGCCCACAGATCTGATCTGTGATGACCCTTTCCACTGGGCAAAGAAGGGCTGTGTCCTCTGCATCACCCAGCCTGCTCTGAAAAATGCTCTGCAGCCCTTCACCAGTGACTCAGGTACATAGCAGCCAGAAAAAAAATTATCCACCCACTCCAATTCCAGCCTCACAGTGTTCTGTTGGGGGCAATTGCATTTAGCTGGAAGCAGGGCTGGTGATTCACCTCCAGACCTGGCTGAAGGGGCCACAGGAGCTCAGCAGGAGCAGCACAGCTCACGTTTGGGTGTCTCTGCACAAGGACAGTGCTGTTGCCACTGGAACACAGCTCCTGCAAGTGCCTTTGTTAATGAGATGTAACACACACCATTACAAGGAAATTACTACAATTACAGTAATTTTCTAGCGAAAGAAATTTACAGAATGACTCAAAAAATTTGAAACTTAACTAATGCCCAGCACAGCTGTTTTCACAAGGGTCAGTACCACACCAAGCAATCTGCACAGACAACCTGAGAGAGAGACTGATGTTTCCATATAGTGAATAATCCCCGTTTGAAGCACTCCTGTGCATTTCTAGTGCCAGATGGGAATGCTAGTGGGACCTCCTGGGTGATGCTGGCACAGCAATGCAAAGGCTGGCACAGAAGGCAGTTTCACATACAAAGCGAGGGATTGAACCTCAGGATTTGGGGTTTTGCTCACTCAACTCATCGCAAAACACTTGAGGAATGTGTGCTGGGCACGATCCCCTCCTTTGCCTCCTTGCCATGAGCACAGTTTTGAGGTGGTGTCTCCCACCTCCTGCCAGTGACCCCACAACAGCTCCA